ATATTTCTAGTGAGAAAAAAATCAATGAGATCGGGAGTTTTATCGGGGTCAGTGGGGTAATAAGTTGCTACTCCATCTGTAAGAAAATCACATCCAGTAGACAAGGAAGCCTCTACTAAATTAGTACCCTTGGCCGTTGTCCCTTTAGACCCGTAATAAGTATGCTTCGCATTAAAATCACCCCCCAGGATAAATCTGGGGCCAAGCTTTGTTATTAAATCCTTGTATTCATCTTCTGTTACAGTTCCTCCACTAGGGGGACTATAGATTGAAGCAATATGAATTTCCCCATTTTTTGTGGGTAATGTTACACCTACTGTTTGCAGTTTTTTGGTAGCTAAAGATTTCGTGTCATCAAGATAATGGGATATACCGCTACGTATTAACAGTCCGGCTCCACCCCAAGAATTCTCCAAGGGAGAGTCCGTTCTGTAGAATTCGTAGCCTCTTAGTCTATAATACATTTGAGATGTTAAATGAGTTTCATTAAGGAGTAGAATGTCGATTTTTTCTCGACGGACATAAGCTTCAATCTCGTTTGCGTGAGACAGAAGGCCGTTACAGTTAAACGCAACTATTCTAAGACGAGTCATGTTTGTTTATTTACGTCCTCTCCTACCGAGGGAGGGGTATTGGAGTGACGACACTGCGTTCTCGAGACGCGCTAGACGTTCCGCGATTGCATTGATCTTATCAAGTTTACTCATGATCATATCGATTGATCTCTCGAGGTCTAATAATGACATAGTTTCGACTTGACGTTGATTACCATTTTGGACTTGATTACCTGGCGCATTGTTTACAGATTTCTTACCTGAGATTCTATTAGAGTAAGAAACACCTTTTTGGATTTTTGAAGCCTCACCATCGAACTTACCCTTGGGTTGCTTCTTTTTTGCTAGTTCGGCCTTTCTATCAGCCGATTCTTGCTTGGCCACAGGACAGCCTCTATAGCTTGCCGGATGTTGCTCATTGCAATTTGCACATACCGGCTTTTCAATGAATTTTCTTGAAGGGCACGCCGAAGATAGGTGAGGACCCGCGCACCTTACGCATACAGGGTGTTTATAACATCCGTTTTTTGTGTGTCGGAAACCTTGACAACGAATGCATTGGGGTACAACAGTTGGATCAACCTTGAGCGGCTCAATTTTAACCCTAACGTTACAGATAGAATTGATCTTGAAAATTTTTTCAATGTCAGTTCCATTGGCAAAAGTCAAAGTGAAAGTTCCAATTGGAACTTTTTTGATTTTAATTTGGGTCGTATCACCTTCCTTAATCTCTTTCCTCTCTTTTATTATCATCTGATCCACTCTCAAAATGGGAAATTCTTTGGTTTTAAGGTCCTCCAAAATTTCTTCAGAGGAGTTAGAAAAGTGAAGGCCGCGAACAATTACTCGAATGGGTCGTGTATTCTTATTCTCATAGGTATAAAAATTAACTTTATTCGCTTCGAGAGTAGCTCTGATGGCTCTATAAGTGTCATCATTACTAGAGATAATTGAAAAAATTTCATTGTTGATAACTTTGACGAACCAAGAGTCCTGTAAAATAGGGGGTTCGGTAACAATACTAGATATTAATCCCTTTATTTCGTAAATGGATTGCATACCTATAATTTTGATTGGAGGTGGCTTAAAAATCTTACTGGGCTTAACTATTGGAGTTTCGTCTCCATCCGATGTGGTTGCGGTCTCCTTCTGTTTGCCATCCTTGTCAACAGGTTGTGTCCCTTTTGATTGGTTGGCTGCAGTGATATCGTTAACAGGGCGGTTTTTCCCAGCTGCAGAGTCATAGGCGAAGTTTTTCCTAGCCTTCTTCTTTTGAGGAGCTGAGGTAGAGGGTCCACCTTTGGTATCCTTAGCCGGTTTAATTGGGCTGCTGAGCAGTTTCCTTTTAACACGAGATAGAGTTTTCCTAACTTCAGGGTCCTTAGGGAGAAATACATCTGCATCGTCATCATCATCATCACCATTTTCCCCGGACTTTTGTAAAACAGCAAAAAAATTGCCTTGAGTCGGGGCAATAAACTTGTTTATAAGAGGCTGTTTTGGGTCTGGGTTGGTCCTTTGAGGTTGAGGTTTAGAAGTTACCAAAGGTTGAGAGGGTTGTACCTTGGTATTGGATTGGTTCTTAATGGCAAGCTCAAGCTTATCCATTCTTGCTTTTAGTAAGTCGTTCTCCGATTTGATCGAGACATGCGCTTCTAAGAGAGATTTAAGAGAATCTTTGACAACTTTGTATTTGCCAAAGATTAGATCTTTTGAGGTTGCCTCACTTAGGGTTATCTTATCGTTAAGGACATTGTTTACCTTACCGATTATATCGGAAGAAACTATTGTTTCGTCTGTTTCCATAGACGTGGAACTCATTGTTGGACACAACAACACTGGACACTTAAAACGGAAAGTCTATACAAAGTATTTGAAAGTTCTACCAAAATGTTCTAGAGACATGGCTAGGGCCTAGGGCCCTAGCAGAACAGGGATTTTGTGCACTTTAGTTCATAGTTAGGTCAAATAAACACAAAAATACACTTTTAAGAAGCCTAAACGTGGCTAAAAAGCCTGTCAGAGCGATTACGTAACAAACGAGAGGAGCACTGTATCAAGCGACTAGCTCGGACGGCTTGTCAAACGCGACTCATGTATTAAAGTGTGAAGTCATTCCTAATAGATGAGATATTTTAAAGGAGAAGAATGATTCTCCTTTCTCATGGCAAGCTAAAACCTTAATTTTTTCATCATTTACACTTAGTTTGTACCTGACTAGAGTTTTAAGTATGGCAATCATTATTGAGTCTCAAAAAGCCAAGCCACATTGTGTTTGAGTACATTAGAAACTAACTGACGTTTGTATGAATTGTATTCCTATTTTCGACTTCCACCACCACCCAGTCCATCCAACAAAGAGTCAATGCA